TTAAGAAATATGTAGCCTATAATGTGATCAATAATGATTTTAAACAAACTACGTATAACTACCACATTATAACTGAGTGAATGTAAAACTTAAGGATACAGTTATGAAGACATATCTGACCGTTAAATACATTATTAAAATATCCATTTCCATTGGGTGACTAATTTCAATTGATGTTGACACCATCTCACAACACTCCAAAAATAACATGACTTTCTGAAGCACAATTTAAAATGTATGTTGTTTAAAATCTCAAATTAGATCTATTGTCCATCTATATTTTGATTATTGTTTAATGGGAACTGTCCATAATCAAAGAGTCATTCTACTTCAGACTGAGAAAGTCAGTCAGCGAATATCAGGACATTCTGATGTAACATTTCAAGATAAAAGACCTTTGAAATGTCATATATGAGCTATCGTCCCGCTGTTTTTAGATGAGAATGGGTGTTGATTTATTCTATTGGCTTCATATCCAGGGTTAGGTTGTAACGGAATACATGTAACGGCGTTACGTAATCAGAATACAAATATCAAGTAACTGTATTCAGCTCGCGTTACATTTGAAAAACGAGTAATCTGATTACAGTTACTTCTATAAAACAGCTGTGGGCAGCAGATACTGTGAGTGTCACGGACATGAATTCATAGATCAAGGCAGACAGGTGCACAGTGCACACACTCTCCTGTTTTCCCAATCCGGTGCTTAAACAAATATAGCTCTACACCCCTGGCCGAAATGTCCTTAAAATGAAGTCCGAGTTCGACATTTTAATTCATGTCCTGCCAACACTGGCAGGACAGAAGGCGACACGCCCGTTCTAAGCCGTGTCCCTCACTCCTCACATCCCAAGCTGCATCCCCAAAAAGTGTATTATGTTGTTACATCGTTTCAGATGTTATGTTTCAGTTGTGCTCTTGATAAACCATTAAAACAGTAAAAACACGTTCAGTTTCCTTTTGCTTTTTGTGTCTCCTGTTCACCAAAACATACCCATCTGTGATGGATAAAGAAAGTAATCCAAAAGTAATCTTAAAGTAATCTGATTACGTTACTTTATTAAGACACGTAACTGTAACTGTATTCGGATTACTTTCAGAGCCATGTATTCAGTAATCAGTAACTGATTACATTTACAAAGTAACCCTCCCAACCCTGTTCATATCGCAATATATTCCAGAAGTCTGAAATGCAAAATGTTAGAAATTAAAATCAATGTTTAATAGCATTATTTAGTCTAAAACATACCGTCAGTTTAAAAGCTGTTTTATTGTGAAAAACCCGGAAGTTCTCATAAAATCTCAATGCCAAGCTTTTATTCTGAAAATCCTTCATATCCGGTTAGTATTTAGCATGTGGCTAATATTACGTTTTCTGAATGTGAAGTGAAAATGACACGGAATGTTGCACACCAAAACCTACTGACTTTAACATTACATCTATAGACGTCGAGATATTATTACTGATGAATATTAATTGAAGGTACAGTTGATCGTAAAGTGTTTTCACATACGTGGGTAGCTATGACGTCAGAAGGAGTTACCGTAAATGAGAACTGCCGTAAAAGTGTTTCTAGGATTTCTAAACGAACTATTACAGCTGTTATAAAGCATTAAATAAAAAGTCATGAAAGAGATAAGGAGGAGAAAAGGTTTAAGGAAGTAAGCAATGAATACAAAATGTCGAAATCCTCTGTTTCACGCGATGTCGAACATTGAAGACAGAGGACGGCGGTCCCCCAATCTACACAGCGGGAGAGAACGAGAAGAGCATAAAGCAGATCGGAGGAGACATCACGATCTCTCTACTTCGCTGCAGCCTCCCGAGGGACAACACCGGCTTTTGTCTCTTCCTTACCTATGCTTGTTCTATAACGACGTTAATTAATTAAAGTATCCATTTAAACCTTTTCAGAGACTCCATTAGTCTCATCATTTTAAGTTTCTTTCCTGGGAGCGAGAAGATCACAGTTCATCAATAAAAACATTTCCCTTAGGGCAATTCACCTATACTTAACCCCAAATAAAAGAACCCAATAAAAACAGTTGTTAAATAATAGTGAAGTCACGTTGTAATAACAATAACTCATCTCTCGGTTTGAGTGTTCTTTTTCTGCTTTGCCAAAAGCCACTGTGTCAAGTGTCTAGTGACTATTTCTCTTAGCGGATGCATGTCAATTTAAATCAATACATACAACTATTTTTTAAATCAATAAAAACATTTTCTAAATCCATAAAAGCATTTCAATTAAGATTGGGAGTCATGTCGTTACTTTGTTGAGAATGTGGCCATGTAATAAGCGGGATAATTTGCAGCGACTTGGTCATTGTGGGGAAAAATAACACCCAGGGATCCTGATCGTTTTAATGAAGTTGAATACAGAATATTCATATTTGTCAGTGATTTCATGTCAATTCGGCGAACATAAACATAAATGATCGTGGTGAAGATGATGATTAAATTAGGATTAAAAATCGAGAGCCGGTTGCATTTCCTCTCGTTCGTTTTTTCCGACTAAACAACATTATTTTGTTAAATAACAACATGGTGATGTTTTGTAAATGATTACATGTCTTATTTAGCACAGACTATGATCCTATCCGTGACATATGGATCAAAGATCCGCTATACAGTAGTACCAGACATACTGTACATCCAGCTTACTGTATCAAAGTTGATTTCACATGAGCTCCAGTGTGGAACCCCACTGCACCCCCTGGTGGATCAATGATCCATTGCAGCTGGCTTCACAATAATTAAATGTATTTATCACGGGGGCGGTCTCAAGTCAGACTGGGGGCAGGCTCTTCATCACTGGCCTTTCACGGGCCGTTCACGACCACGACCCTCGCGTTTCAAACTGTCCTAAATAAGCTGCTACATCTGTATATACTGTGGGCCTGCGCGCGCATTCAGGTAGGCTCACCCTGATTGGCCGGCTATGTTTATACAACTTCAGTGTGTGAACGCTCACGTATAATTGATGAGAGTAGTACCCATAGAGTCCAGTAGAGGGCGGAGCCTGTGTGAGATAGAACCAACATCCGTCAACCCCTCCACCTTAGTGAGGGGGACGTATGAGGTAACCGGAGCCTTCAGGCTCCTATCACTCCTGACGGTCTGTATCCGGGAGAACACTCCTGCCATGTCGTCAGCAAGAGAGCTCTCCTGAGCTGGGGGAATGAGGAGACCTCTCCAGGCGGCTGCCTTTTCAAGGATCTCCGACAGTTCCTGCAGGACCCCGCCTATCAACGGCGTGATGGCGGGAAAAGGGACTGCAGCCGCGGAACTGGGCTCCATCTCTGTCTCCTCCGTCCGGGGGAGAAACGGGATGGGGGAACCACGCGGTGATCCGTGGATGGAGGCGGTATAGGAGTCGTCCGACTCCTGCCCGGCACTCGGATCCAGGAACTCAAGGGCTTGTTCCACGGAGTAGGACTCCTGGACTGGCCAATCATCCTCGGCCGCAGCAGCGAGAGAGTCCGCTCTTCGCTGTCTGTCGGCCAGAGGGAGACGGGCAAAATGAGCACATGACACCTGCTGCGTGCACGTGCTCCGACCCCAGGCAGGATTCACATCGTGAGTGCCAGTCATAACTCATTATGTATCCCGTCTGGCATGAGGAGCAAACTAACACAACCCTGTGTACTCATGTTTAAGGCTCGTTTCCGAGGTGGCTCTTAGAAGAGCCTTTGCTCTTTAGTGTCTCTACAGTGCTTCAGTACCGGGGTGCTGAAGAAAAGTGGATTACAAGTGTTTTCAGTGCTGCGCGGTTGCGCAGGGGATTACCCAATAGCGATAGCCTTAGAGGGCGAAGCCTATACGAAATAGAAGTGTGGGATCTGGAATGAGAGGGAAGAGTTACTTTCAAAATAAAAACAGGAAGTGACAAGATCAAAAACACAAGACTAGACTAAGGCCACGTTTACACGGAGACGAAACGGGTTGTATCCGCTACAGTTCTCTATCGTATGGACGGTTCGTCCACACGAGGCCGTAACGGAACCGCGGAAACGGAGCCCTCAAACAATTACAGCTCCCAAGGCGGGTAGATCTGCGGACGAAACGCTCTGGGGGGCCAAGCGGCTCCGTGTGTACGTCCTATACGATCATTTCCTGATAACGATGACGCCATAGCCCCGCCTCTCCCCACCTCTGCTGCTCACCCCCGCGTCACCCGCGTCATTGCTGATGTGTTTCGCCAACAACAACAACAATGGCGGATCACAGGATTGCTTTCGTGCTCCAGATGCTACTGACCATGCTACAGATGTTAGTGCAAAATCTACAGCTCCTCTACCACAACCATCAGCAACAAGTGGACATGGAGAACTACATGAACTACATGTTGCTAAATCCACCACGGACAATAAACAGAAGGGCAACCACGCAACCATGGCAACCATGCTCGGGGGGTCTTCTTTGCTGCTTTTGGTGTATTTTGTGGCGGAAGTACAGCGCCACTTACAGGCCCGGCATATGTACTACAGCGTCTCCAGCGGGTCGAGCGGTCTCGTGTGGAAGGACACGTTTCTTGAGCCGATTCCGTGTGGACGGAATACTTTTTTGATATCGACTAAGGTTCGTTTTCGTCTCCGTGTAAACGTGGCCTGAAAAACATAACTTAACATAACATAACTGTCGAGCCACAACAAATATAAATTAGCACATTGAGGAAATGTCTGCCTTGGCTCAGGATTTACAAGAATATGAAACCACACCACTTTCACATTTATGATATTGAAAAAGTGGGGTGTCTTTAACTTTAAAAGAGAAAGAATACTTTGGATAATGCTAGGTTCAGATTAGAAATAAACCAGGTCCTAATGTCTCTATTATTTCTTTTATATACTGTACATTTCATTTTTAAATAATTAGACTCCAAAATGTTAATCTTTTAGCTTTCTCAGACAGCTGAATTTGTGTTGGTTATGACTTGTCTTGCATAGGTGGATATGCAATTTTAAAGTATATAAACACGTGACAAGGAAGCAGGTAGCCATCACACAGTATCATTTTATTACATCAGTTACCAAGGTGACAACTCCTCCTCATTTGAACAGATCAGAAAATATTCATCTTTTTCTTATTCAGCAATTTGTAGTTTTGTACAAATGGCACACACACACGCACACATTCACACATATCATATATCATCACAAATGATTGAGCTGAAATATACAACGCAGAGTGAAATAAAGTCATAACATGTAGTGGTACGTCTAAATTAAACATGTACAGTGGAACACAATGTGAACAATATTGTTTTTATTGGCAGCTAGATTCAAGTTTTTGCTGGTGAAGTGGAGTCAGCTGAGAGTGAGGAGAGAGGCAGACAGGAAGCCAGACGGAGAGACAAAGGAAACAGAGAAACATCACGTGCCAGAATGATTGGTGGAGTCCACTTCAGATTGTGAGAAACAACACTGTGTGTCTGCCTCGCTCCGTTACCTCGTAAACATTGACACTTAACTGCTGTTCCTGTTGGCACTAACTGGAAGACTAACTTGTTTTTCTGAGGAACCAAAAGTGATTATTTCCTGTCATTTCTGTAGCAAACACACAAAGAAAGCACATGCGTCTGGACACATCTTCAGAATTCTGCGAGTGAAATAATGCTTTACTCTGCTTCCAGTGGATCACATGATTCTCTGTTGCTTCTATCTTTGAAAAACAAGAAATGGAGAGCTTGGACATTTGCATGAATCCAGCTGATGTGGAGATATGTTTGATACAGCAGGTTTCTGTGGGGGGTGGAGGGGTAACAGCATGTTTGAATAACGATTTCCTGGGGTTATGAGGTCGAGCCGCCATGTTAATGGGGTGACAGCAAAAAAAGAGCTGTCACTGCCTGTTTTTCTCTAACAAAAACATAATTTCAGGTGGGCGTACGGAAGCTTTTTGTCACTATTTGTTTAACTTTATTCAGCGCTGCATGTTACAGCAAACAGGAATGCCTACTTTACTTTGACTTACTCAGTGACTCTTTTTTTAAGCCTTGAGGATTCAGTGCTAAATAACTATTAATATAATAAGAAATAACTTTGCAAATCGCCATCTTAAAGTGTCTGATCCTTTGAATAATTGCAGGTTGGAACAGAAACCTTTTGCTCTTATTGCTTTCTTCCTTTTCCACATGACATGAACACATCAGCTCTACATCTTTCTGCCAGAGCTGCTGCAGAGGAAGAAAGGATCTCATGGTGGAGCTACAGACAATGTTCTGGATAGGAAATCAATGTCATATTTTGCTAAAGATAATAGAAAAAGATCAAGGGGAATAAATGTTTGCCTGTTTCATTTTAGATAAGATAGTTAGCAAAGCATGCTGACCTTCTAAAATCATGAATGCAAGAAACAATGATTTATTTAGAATCCTTCCTCCCTTTTTCTCAACCCATTAAGATTTCTTCAAACAACGCGACCATTTCTGTCATACAGCAGCTCTGACACGGTGACATATTTCTATTAAGATACAATTTAAATCTATAATAAAATATTAGGTAGGAAAATATCACTCGGAGGCAGAAAGCGAAAATAAGAAGAGAAAGTGGTGGAGGTGGACACGGTGGCACACGGTGATGGAAACACTCCAACAGGAGCTGGAGGAGACAACTTCTGACACACAACTGTCGCTCTGTTTTCATCCGACTTCACAGCGGCTCAGGCTCTAATAACCAGGAGGGTGCAAAGGTCAAAGGTCAGTGTTTGACAGATAGTACATGTGTTGTAAATTCAGACACTGCAGTCCTTCAGGAAAACGTTGATGCATCACAGTTCAAACAGAGCCGCACTGTTACTCCATGTTTCTGTTGTAGTCATATGACAGCCGTCGCTTAGCAGCAGCGTTATGAGCGTGCTGATTGGTCGAGGGGAGGCCGGGGGAGAGACGGTGATTGGCTGTCCTTTGGGGGGGTCTGCTTTCCTGCAGAGATTAAAACACAAACATGCACATGTGATGTTAGCGTCCCAGGGTTCATGAAAGGCGCTATATTCATTTCAGTTATTATTATTATTATTAGACTACTGAGCACAACCCAGGGGTTTACTCTGCTGAAGCTGATTTATCAATGTGTTGGTCAACAGAAAATGAAAAAAACAACAATCTGATTCTGCATTATTATTTAAAGCCTCTGGGCAGATTTGCTGCTTTCTTTTAATTCGATTTTAATTATAAGATTTTGTCTGTTGATTGAACAAAACAAACCATTTGGAGACATCACCTTGGAAATTAAAATCAGCAGTGCTGCAGGGATGACTTTTCTTTTTTGGCAGACCAGATACATCTTCGCACAAAGCCAATGGGATTCTTCTATTGTACAGTATTTTGGTTCAGCTTAAAGTTTTGTTCAGCAGGATTATTTTTACAAATTAAATATATATTTTGAATTTCCAGAAGTAAGAAAGCTAACTTTAGACTACACCACAATGACATGACTTCATTTTTCCACTTTGTTCAGCATTACAAAGTTTACTCACCCTGACAATAGTTCAATTTAGCTGCTTGCTAACAACCTTTTTTAACACACGTGAAAACCTGGGGTATTTACTGACGTATTTTATGTTAGAAATAAATGTTATTGCATTAACTACACACCTTATTTGATGGATCTAACTAGAAACCCACATTTCTTTGAGGTGACGGAACTGTATATGCAAATATGCTGACTCATTCCCGGGTTTTAGGACTCATTCCTGCAGCAGTCTATCGTAGTGGAAGCTGGAAGGTACGTTTACAGATATTGTATTGACTCCCTGTGAACAGTCTTTTGAAAAACTGTCAGTGTAGCTAACTGGTATGTGTTGTGTGTTGAATTAAAAATCCCTTATATTAATAACTATGTGAAGTCGTATATATCTTTTCATACCATATTTCAACCAACAAAGTGAGTGCGAACTCCACCACTTGTGATTTCAAATGTTAGATTAGATTTAGCTCAAAGCTAAAATCCGGCATGTTTACGTTTTAAAGCATTATTTGTCTTAAATGTTCATCAATATGCATTGTCCCTCTTCAAATAAACGATTAAATTAAATTAAATGTATTGTCTCCAGGGGCAAATTCATTTTCACAGCACTGTAAATGAACACAATATACATACAATAAATAAATGATCCGAAACATCTTCACATTTACATTTATTTAGAACCAATTATCCAAAGCCAGCCTCAATAGGTGCACTTACTTTGCCCATATAATTAAAACTAAAGACTAATGGTTTGTCTCTTTGTTTAATAGTATGTCTACAACATGTTTGTATGCAACATACAAATGTTGGGCTTCATCAGCAACAAATCCCAATTACATTAACTATAATTTTACAAATAACATTATTTCCATGAATATTGTCGAGCTCTAGTGGTTTCTACTGTAACCCATTTGTACAATAATCTCAACGTTAAACACATTATTGAAACGTTTAACACATTTCACTTTATTTTTTAAAGAGAAACAAATCAGTAACTAGAACTGATGAATGTTTCTCTAAGTAGTTCCCTTCCTAACTCAACCTAAATGCAATATTTATAGATATGATACTTTACAACAAGTACAATATCAAATAAACGTATACACAGTGTGGAGTTTCCCACTCTGCTCCCCTGCACAAAGGTTGAGGAGCAGTGAGTCACACAAAGGTCTCTGTAGTTTTCTCAGTGCTGTAACTCAGAGTGAGCCGGTTCATTTATCAGCGCGGTGTGAGCAGTGTTTTGCATATAACAGCGGTCACTTCATTTGAATGCAGCTGGAGTTGCTCATTAGTCAAACAGCATTATCAGGTCATTTTACACGCTGTAAGGCTGCCCTGACAAATTCAATTTAGAAACCTTGAAGCTTAACAAATGAAGAGTGAACTCTAGGCACTCTGTTATAAATCCCTCTGCATGAAATGATGTGAAGAAAGCATGTGTGTGTGTGTGTGTGTGTGTGTGTGTGTGAGGAGATAGAGATCAGTTGCTATGAGAGGCCGTCTAGCTCACAACTCATACTTGGTCTTACAAACAATATCAGAATCTCACATGTACACCACCAGACTCTTTCACACGCAGTATCATACCGTCTTTAACGTTCTGTCATTCCTTCCTTATAATATATATAATATAATACATTAACCGTGCTTTACCTGAACCTCATCATGACGCTAGAGAGGACGGCAGGATTGTAATTTCCCTTGTTCAGTGAATGCAATTATTATGTAAAAGATTATTTCCAAGGCACACCTTCATATGATCATTATAGTTATAATGAGAAATAAGAGAATAAATGAAAACAGTTATGAAATACTAACTATGACAGTAAAACAAGAATACAGTTTAAAAGGGGGAGTGATTTGTAAAATATCTGTTTACAGTTCTGTTTCATAGATCTCTTAATGTTGCTCTCAAAGTGCACCAGATTAAGGCATTTAACTTCAATATTTAAAAATTGAAGTTAAATCTTCCCGGGGGAGCATGCCACCGGACCCCCCTAAAGGATGTTAGGTCCACTCCCCACTTATAAAAATAGCACTTTACCCCGACTTACACAGCCTATATGCCGTGAGCTGATTATCGAGCCTTCATTGTAACACTGTGTATCTGCGTGTGGGGAGTGTTGCAGTAGAAAATTCCACTGTAGCGCCCGGTACCTTAATGGGAAACCCTACATGTTTGAGCACCCTCTATGAAACGTCAAGCTACCCCACAGCACTCCCAAAAAGAAAATCTCTGGCGCCGCCACTGTGGGCTAAGCCCCGAATGTTTCCAGGTCCAGGAAACGCCCCTGGCAGGGGCGGATCTACCGGGGTGGCATGGGGTGGCAACTGCCACCCTAAAAAATAGCCTTGCCACCCCAGCTGCCACCCCAGTTGGCATCTTTGTTTTGAAAGAAAAGTTGTGGCTCATCGGACATTTATGAGAGAAAATCTCTAATGTCCGAGTGCAAGTAAATGCAGCACAAGACGCGAGTCTTGTAACCCCTCCCTGGTGCGAGCTTGGAAATATGATTGGCGGCGATTTCATTTGAACGGGGGGACGGCGCAAAACGAGAAGCATTCGGACTCAAGTAGATGGAAGGAATGAGGTATTTGCGGTCTACAATGACAGAGAAGAGACTGTCAAGTTTGGCTGTACTCAGCATTGAATCAAAACGCACTAAAGCTTTGGGTCTTAATAAGTTTGTGAGGCGTTATGCTGAACAAAATGGTAATCGCCGCATTCAGCTGTAATAGGCATGTCAACTTGATGCTCTGCTCACGGATGACTCGATGAGCATAAACAACTGTTAAGATGATGACCTTGTATGTGTGTATTTTTCTTTTTCTTTGTGGGGGTCTGCCCCCAAAAAACAGTTTTAAGTCCTGAGAAAGTCAAATAAGACGGTGTGTAAAACTACACTGCCCAGCCAAAACAAAGTAATAACTTTGATTGAACTAGGCCAGTAGGTAAGGACTTTCCACTGGATAATAACTGCAGCGATGTATATGTTTTAGCTGAATACACGTTTTTTAACCCTAACTGATGCAATTAGTCACTTCTTTAATGTTTGTTCTTTCTGATGTAAAGTCAAGGTTGTAACTGTTTGCAGTAAAGTCGTGGGGCGCTGAACTGTTCCTTTGAATCTTTTGAATTTTGATACATGATATAATTACTTGTCTTTCAAATTTGAAGGAGGGTGAGCAAGCATCTTGAGGAACATTCATCATTAACTCCTCCAAAAATTATAGTTTATTCAATAATAAATGAATATGTGAACTATAACAGTGATTGACAGCTGATAGGAATAATATGATTGTTAATAGTATCATATTCATTCAGACAAACATCGATGAGACAGTTAATTAATGTACTTATTGCAGCAGGCTTCATAGATTTGGTACCCCTGCTGGTCTAAGAGTGAAACAAACTCATTCAGTTATTGTTCAGTTAAAATTCATTAAATTATGTCTGCCACCTTATATATTTATATGTAAGGCTTTACTGATGTGCCACAATAATGTCACCTAATGTTATTGAGTTAAAATATTAATATTGTGGCGTTAACATTGATTGATATGACTGCGATTAAATCAGCATATACTTCTGCCAGGGGATGCCACCCCTCAAAATCTCCTGTCACCCTCTTGCCACCCCATGAATATTTGTCTAGATCCGCCCCTGGCCCCTGGTAACATGTATTGTGTTTATGTGATGACATTTGGAGATGTTTAAAGTTAAACTCAATGACAAAATGCGTTAGCATTCGCGCTAGCGTTAACATACATGCTAGCGTTAGCCATACTAGGCTGTATACATGCTTATTGCACAGCTAGCATTAGCTATATTTACCTTGTTTACACTTAGCGGTCGTATTGGTTAATCTGTGTATGTTACACTTGCATGTATGAGATCATTAAGTGCCTTGTATCTTCTTTTTTTATAGTTTCACTCCGTTTGAATGTCAGTGGACTGCAGTGGCGAGCCGTGACTTTTATACCTAGGCCCATAGGCGGATTTTGCGGGGGGGCAGGAGGGGCATTGCCCCCCCTAGTGGCTGAAATATGTTACAGCATTACTACGTCTAAAACTGTTCCAATACAAATATTTCGTATATCAATATTTTAATAGATGTTAAAGCCTCTGCTGTCGCATCTGTTGCGCTTGAGGATCTTCGAAAGACTGTTAAAATGGCAGCTATCCAAATCTATACAAGATGCTCCAGTTAGCACTGACTCTGCCTATCGGGTCTGCCACCTCTGAGGGAAGTTTTTCTGCAATGAGGAGAATTCAGAACTGGTCAACGATGGGAGGAACAAGATTTTCCTCACTTGCGGTTCTTCACATTGAGGACGACAGCTGTCACCTGAGGGGATAGTGGACATATATGCGGAACGTAAAAAAAGGCGTCTACTTCTGCACTAAGGTAGGACACTGGTTAATAATATTGTAGCGTGTTCAAGTAACCAAGGG